AATATGAGGTGTTAAATGATAATAGTTAACTAGCGATTAATTAAAAATTAATATCATGTCACTATAACCTCATAAATTTAGCATTATCTTATCCAAGGCCGACCCTAGGGCATACAAATTGAACTAGGGGTTTTAGGCCCCATCCATATGAAAGGCCCTAAATTTTATTGGTCTCTACTCTGATGCAGACCTACAATTTTAACCCATAAAAATAAGTCCAAAGAAAAGCTCCATAAATACTTAAACTAAGAGAAAAATACTAAACTAAGATTCAAAATGTTACATCAATTAACCATCTCTCTCTCTCTCTCACACACACACATTTTTATCCTAAACTAAAAAAATCAGCCAAACTTATAGATTAAGAATACTTAATAATTTGTATAAAAATAATTTAATAGGGATATCAATGACAAGATAACATAACATAGTGGATAACCTTAAGTTTAAAAATATTGTAATTTTCTATGTAATTTAAAAACATAAACCTCATTTAAAAAATCAATCAAGCTTTTTAAAATTAAAATTAATCAAAACCCATATAAAATTGACCATGTATAAGAAAGATCAAGCCAACTAGTCATACCATTAATCAAAAAATATATGCTAACAAAACTTGAAACAAAAACGTCATAAGAAATTTTCATATCAAACAACAAAAATAAATTAATAAAAAATTTAAAATTTAAAATAATTTTCAAAAAATAAAAAATCTTATTGATATGTGTCATTTTAAGCCTCGAATTAGATCATGCTACACTTTTTTTTTTGGGGGAGGGGAATTTGAACCTTTGACCTCAAGAAGAAAAAACCTTCACAAAATAAATAGTACCATTAGACCAAAAGTCCATTAGTATCAAGCTACACTTGATATTATTATTGAAATAAATTAATTTAATCCACTCTTTAATACCTAAACCAAATATACCCCAAAAATAACTTTTGGCCAATGTGGGTGAACAACCATTTTTCCCAAACGCAAAAATTTTATTTCGGTTATTGAAACAAAACTCACTTGCTAGGAAAAAAATTTCACAAGATAATCCTCTCCTTAAAAAAAAAAAAAAACAACGTCAATATTCTTAAAAAAATTCACACTAGATTCTGCATCGAAATGAATGCAATTCCTAGATTAAATACATAGCACATAGGTAAATGCAAATTCAAGACTTATAGTATGTATGTGGGCCCAACCACATGGAAAGAAAAAGGATCGTACCTTTCAAATCACTGACAAAAGAGTTGGTTTCCTTTGTATTGGTTGCTTTTCTCACTTTCTTGGGCACTTTACCTGCGAAGTTCCTTGCTCCCCAAGGATGGATGAATGGGTGGAGGATTTGACTTATGAGGTTGTGGGCACTTTTACTATTACTTAGAATTTTCAAATAAGCTATCGAACAGCAACGTAGAACGTAGGCATCCTCATTGGTAAAAACAATGAAACTAGCAGATATTTTGGAAGGAGAAAAATTAGTATAATATATTTACAAAAAATTAAGTGGGTAGGTGAGAAGGAAAGTAAGATAGAAAATACAAGATTTAAGATTTATTATATCGAAAAGAATAGACGAATAAATAGAATAGAAATAGTTGTAGATATAGACCTAAAAATAGCATAGTAATAATTACAAGAAAAAGAGATAATAGTTATATCTATCAAAATTATAGTCGAAGAGAATATAATTAATGTGATTAACCTTTATGCACCCCAAATAGGGCTAGAGGAACATATTATAAAGCAATTTTGAGAGCAAATGGATGAATTAGCTCAAAATATACTTATAGAAGAAAACATAATCATAGGTGGAGATTTCAATGGATATGTAAAAAAAGATAGGACACAATATGAGAGGGTTCATGGAGGTTATGAATATTGTGATTGAAATAAAGGCGGAGAGAGTATTTTGGAGTTTGCAATGACATATGACCTTATAGTGACAAACACTTTGTTTAAAAAACAAGAAGAACATCTAATAACCTTTAAGAGTGGATCAAACAAAAGCCAAGTAGATTATTTCTTAAGTAGAAGAACGGACCGATTAGCATATAAATATTGTAAGGTTATATTGGGAGAGAATTTAACATCTCAAACATAGGCTAACAATCCTATATTTATATATTAAAAAGGCAACATAGTGTGAGGAGAAACATTAGAAAAACAAGAACGAAATAGTAGAATCTAAAAGATGAAAAACTAGTCTTATTTAGGAGTAGAATGTTTAAGAAGGTCTTATAGAACTTAGAGGATGAGACTAACGTTATGTGGAGTAGGATGACGGGACACGTTGAGAAAATTTCGAAAGAAGTTATTGGGGAGTCAAAAGGTAGAGGACTTGTGAGAAAAGAAACTTGGAGGTGAGTACAAGATGTAATTAAAACAAAGAAAGAATCTTTTAAGAGATGACAAAATGATAAAAATAGCGAAAACTTCTAAAGGTATAAATTAGCTAAAAAGAAGGTTAAAAAAATAGTTAGAGACGTTAAGTTAAAAGTTTGCGACGAGTTGTATAAAAAACTAGATAGTAAAAAGGAGAAAAAAGCATTTACAAACTAACTAAAATTAGAAAGAAAAAAAAAAAGACAAGAGCTTTTAACCAAGTTAAGTGCATTAAGGGCGATAACTCAAAAGTTTTTAGTTAAAGATGAGAAAATAAATGATCGATGGAAACACTATTTTGAAAAACTATTAAATGAAAATCACATAGGAAAATTATAAGAAATAGAAAATAGTAGGATTGAAAAAACGTTATTTTGTAGAATAAAGAATTCGGAGGTAGAGTTTGTATTGAAGAAATGAAATTAGGCAAGAGTTTAGGACCAGATAAAATTCCAATCCAATTGAGGTTTGGAAATGCTTAGAGAATGAGGGGGTGTCATGACTAACAAAATTATTTAATAGAATTATTGTTACTAGGAAAATGCCTGATAAATGGAGAAAGTGTATTTTAGTACCTATATATAAAAATAAATGAGATATTCAAAATTGTAATAATTATTGTGGGATAAAATTGATGAGTCATATAATGAAATTATGAGAAAATGTCATTGAACGTCGCCTAAGAGTTGAGATTACAGGGTCAGAAAATTAGTTTGAGTTTATGCTAGGTATAGAGATAAGAAGAAAAATCTCTATATAATATTTATAGATCCAACAAAGGCGTATGATAACAAAACTTAATACAAAAACGTTACAAAAAAATTTCATATCAAACAACAAAAACAAATTAATAAAAAATTTAAAATAATTTTCAAAAAATAAAAAATCTTATTGATATTATTATTGAAATAAATTAATCTAATCCACTCCCTAATACCTAAATCAAATATACCCCAAAAATAACTTTTGGCCAATGTGGTAGGACGATCATTTTTCCTAAATACAAAAATTTCATTTTGGTTATTGAAATGAAATTCACTTATTGGGAAAAAAAATTTGGATTAATTATATTGGATGTCCCAGAAGTATAGAGTTTATCTCATTTTAGTTACTAATGTTTTAATTGTATTATTTTAGACCCTGAAGTATTAAATATGTTTCTATATGGTCCTTTAAACAGACAACGTCTAGATTGTTAACGATTTTTTTATCAAAAATTTGTCACGTAATACTCAAATATAGACAAAAAAATAACTTGGATAACTCTTGACCAAATTTTTACTCAAATTTTGTTAAATATCAATCTAAATTATACAGTTTTGATTACAAGCTATTCAAATTTTAGTCAAAAACTACCCATATTACACATTTTTTTGTCAAAAACTATCCAAATTGTGTTTAAAAGTTATTAAAATTATTTTTTTTTGTCTATATTTAGGTATTATATGACAAGTTTATGATAAAAAATCGTTAACAATCTAAACGTTATCTGTTTGAGGAATCATATAGAGACATATTCAATATTTCAAATATCAAAATAATATAATTAAAATATTAAAAATTAAAATAAAATAAAATTAATATTTTAGAGATCTATAATATAATTAACCCAAACAAATTTCACAGAATTGTACAATTGTTACAAGCCGTATACTGTCTTGACGCTTGAGTGAAGGCAACAGAACGGACGTGCTCGAAATGAATGCGACGCGACTCTTACATTAAATACATAGCACATAGGTAAATGCAAATTCGAAACATATGGTATATATATATACGTGGGCCCAACCACAGGAAAAGAAAAAGAATCGTCCTTTTGAAATCGCTGACAATGAGTCTGTCTCCTTTCTTGTGATTGCTATTCTCACTTTCTTGGAAGCATTACTGGGAAGTTCCTTGCTCCCGAAGTTAAATACATGTATATAGATGGATGGATGGAGGATTTATGGGTTGTGGGCACTTTTACTACTACTGAGAATTTGCAAGTAAGCTGTCGATTTTTAACTCACCTCCTCTCATTTTCTTTTGAATTTTTTGAATTTCGTTCTTTGCTCTGTCTGAAATTGGGTCTGTCTGATTGGGTTTAAAGCTTCCTGTTCTGTTACTGTATATGGAAATGTATTCAATGCACCATTGGCCATCTTAGAATTTTGTTGTTGTTCTTCTTCTTCGGCTCTGTGAAAAAAATTGCTGTTTTCATCAGAGGTTTTTGTTCTAAATTGTTTCATTTAAAGTTTTTTGTTTGCTATCGCTATATGCGGAGAGGAGATTCAATGCATTTCTGGCTTTGACACGAAGCTCTCTATCTTTCTCTGTCGAACATTTATACATTTTCCTTTTTTGAATTTGAATATCAATTGAAACCCAGTTCATGTGTTTTTTTTTTTGGGGATGAAAGAGAGAAAAGAATCAATGGAAATGTTTTGTGGATCATCGTCTTTGAGGGATGAAGTCTCTGCTTTTCTCTCTCTAAAACAAATTTGCATTTACTTTTTGATTGTTAGTACTTAATAGACCCAGTCCCTTTATATCTTTACCTAATGGAAATTTTCGGTGGATCATTCTCTTTTTAAATCAAATTCAGTTTTTAAGAGAGAAACAGAGAGAGAGAAAGAAAAAGCCAATGGAGCGAGTTCAAATCGAATTCAGTGGAATCCAAAAAGTGACTGGAGATCCTCTCCCTTTTGCAAGAAGGTACTCTCTTTCTTCTGTATTCTCTGTTTGTGGGTGTGTGACTGTGCTGTTGTCATTACTGTTTTATGAATATCTGTTTGTTTTTGAAACTGCTTTTGCTATTTCGGGTGGCCCATGCTTTAATAGCTATCAGTTGGAAGCTTTGGAGAAAGCAATTAAGCAGAACACAATTGTGTTCTTGGAGACCGGTTCCGGGAAGACTCTGATTGCTATTATGCTTCTGCGTAGCTATGCGTACCTTCTCCGCAAGCCATTGCCATATATTGCAGTTTTCTTGGTCCCGACTGTTGTTTTGGTCACTCAAGTATGTTAAATAATCATCGATGATACTTGCTTTATGCCTTATTCGTCTTTAATTTTGAAGCATTTTTATAATTTTGACATGTTGCGGTGGTTTTGATCTTTTCATTCAAACTTTTGGCCCTTTAGACTAATACTTATGACAAATTTTATGTAATCACCGTTTGTGATTAATACTTGTTAGCAAGCTGAAGCTGTGAAAATGAACACTGATTTGAAAGTGGGCAAGTACTGGGGAGAAATGGGAGTTGACTACTGGGATGCTGCTACATGGAAGCAGCAACGGGATGAGTATGAGGTGAGCACACTTTTCATTTCACCTTGTCCAATTCTTTGTTGTAAATCATTCAGTAATAGTTTCAGGAAAGAGAAAGGGAAAATAATTTGATTTTGTGTGTTTCCGTGTTGATTAATGTAATTCCAACTCAATTTAAGCAGTTTTAATAATCAAATGATAATTCCATTTCAATAGATTATGTGGAAATAAAAAAACAGCTTGGTTTTTGGCATGACACTTTAAGTTAAATTAACTGCTATGTACACAAAAAAAAATGAGTTTCTATATGATTTGATGTCATTAGTATTTGCCTGATCCGATGTTATTAATTTTAAACATAGTAAAAAATTGTTGGTGGTTGGCACAACACAAATGCTAAAAGAAATTTTTGCATGCTGTGTTTTATTTTGTCATGGACATTTTTTTTTGTAGTTTTGTAACAATATTGGCTATAGCAAGTGTTATGCTTTAGGAATTATGTCTCTTTGTGGCAAATTTGTTTATTATGGACTTGTGGAGTAATCAACATGCGCCAACTTTTGGGTGGATGATTCAGGTGTTGGTAATGACGCCTGCTATCTTACTTGATGCTTTGAGGCGTAGCTTTTTGAAACTTGACATGATAAAGGTCCTGATATTCGATGAATGCCATAATGCGAGAGGTAGACACCCATATGCCTGCATTATGATGGTGAGTTATCTCTATGTTGAGTTCTCCTTTACTATGTGATGCTTTAAGGTCTTCTAACTTTTTTGTGAGCTCAATGATGAAAGTTTTGCTGTTCCTCGAATTTTAATGTTCTAAAAGGTTTGTGTAAGGAGATATAGTTGTACTAAAATTACATGAAAGATCTTAAACTGCATTAGAGCACAATGCAATACTTTCTTTGGACACCAAGGAGCCATTTTGTTCGTTGGATAAAATTGGATTGGATTAATAATTTCCATCCAACCCAACCTCTCAAAAGAGAAAAAGGGGTTGGTTTTATGAAGATGGAATTAGGTTAATTCCAAATCTGGTGTTTGGTTCACACAAGATAAGAAGGTATGATACGTTTTTATTTGTCTAAAATAACATCAGTTATCTATATTTTTATATATATTAGTTGATGCATACGTGCGTCGCACGTGAATCAATTTAGAATACAAAATATTATTATATATTAAAATCACAGAATCTAGAACCATATGTTCATTCTATTCCATGATCCAAGTTCAATATTTGCCCAGGAAAAACTAGAATTTAGAAATTTTTATACGATATTTGTTGTCAATTTGATGGTACGGAACTGAAAAATAAGTTGATGCCTCTTGGAAATTAATAAAGTATAAAACAATAGGTGAAACTCTTCAAGACTGTCAGGATACTTTGTCTTGAAAAAAAAAATTGAAGTTACCAAATTTTTGAGTATGAATAAACTATGCTTGCATTGATGTACCAATTGTCTTTGTTGTTATTTGTCAACTTATTCAGCACAGAATAATCAAATTTTGTTATCTAGATTCAATTGGTGAGATATGAGAATCAAAACAAGAATTAATTAGTGTGGGGTGAAGAGGTAGTATACACCAAACAACACCAGTACACTACTCAAGCTAATATCAAAGGAACTGAATGAACGTTAACCCAAAGACTAAACAACTATGAAACTTATGGATGGTCGCCAACCCAACTCTTAGGATCGTTCACTAAAGCAAAGACTCAAAGATGCACCTTGTAAACATCTTTTGATTTGCTTAAATTCGCCCACAAGCCANTGGATGGTCGCCAACCCAACTCTTAGGATCGTTCACTAAAGCAAAGACTCAAAGATTCACCTTGTAAACATCTTTTGATTTGCTTAAATTCGCCCACAAGCCAATGCTTGATTTGCAACCCACCTTTCAAGGAAAAGCTACTTTATCTTGAAAATTCCCACAAACATCTCCTTCATAGAAGGGAATGTCCCATCAACTGGTGACAAAATTTCTAAACCCAAATGGTTGAGACTAGTCTTTTTAAGCTTTTGCCTATTTTGATGTGTCTTAGTTGACTATAATGCAAAGTAAAATTTTATTATCTTAAGATTTGAATTTTGACATTGTGAATCGTATTTATCAGTTGCATTGCTTTTTTGCCTCGTCCTCAAAATAACGGGATGAGCTTATTATCGTCTTTCGTAATTGTCCATCAACATGAAGTGCATGCGTGTGGTGTTTGTTTGTCTCGGCTTGTGTTTGAGAGATTGTATATTTTAAATACTAATTTAATTTTTTTTAATCACGCTTCTTAAAATTAAAATGAAACGAGATAGGTGTGAATTGATGTGATTGTTTGATATTAGGGAGTGTGTTGATTAAGTTGTTTGTCATTGGGGGTTGTGTAGAGAAGTTGACATTTATGGGCGGGAAAAAAAATTTGAAATGAATTTTATACCCTCGGATCAACTTTTTTGAATGAATCTCAACTGCTGTTGTGCTTTATAACTTATGTGATTCATGTTGTTAGCTGCCATATTATATAGATTGTCAAAAGTAAAAAAGTAAGTTTCTTTTATGGTTGAACAAAGAAGCACATCATTAGCCAAGGCTTGATTCAAGGTTTGATTTTCTCCGGAATCCAAAATTAGCTTTGAAGAAGTAAGTTTTGATATGGAAGAGTAAATTAGCAAGGTTTGTTATGCTGGAAATTACAATGAATGAGAAATTTGTGCCGGGGGGGGGATTTGATAGAGATGTCCCGTGAGTCAATCAAACATTACTAAGCTGTGGTCTGACGTACTGATATTGTCTTGGCAGCTGGTGAGTGGTGACATGTAATTCTCATTCAACTTGACTCGGTCTGAGTTGTAACTTACTTTGAACATCTGCATAGCCTTAGTGGAGCCTTAAGTCTCAAGAATGACTAACATTTGAAGATTCAATTAATAGATTAATAGTAAGCATATATGACATGTAATAAGACGCCATAAACATAGAGGAACTGGAGTAAGAAGACTTCATCTGCTAAATTTTTTGCTGGTATATCTGAACACTATATAGAAGTAGCTTGGATCCTTCCCCTTACTTATAAACCTTAACTTGCCTTTTACCATATATCTGATCACTTATAATTAGTTGACCTTCCCTATAATATCTTTTTACCCTTAAGGCTCTACTTGACTTGCTAACTAATAAAGCCACTGGAGAGATACTGTTCGAAATTTATTTGCTGTATTGTAGTCATGTTGTCATCAAACTTAACAACCTTTGCTTTAGTCCTGGCCTAACAGAGTGTGTTAGGCTGCTCAAAGTTGCTATCCTTGTCGATGAGAGGAATAAAATTGTGAAACTATGTCCATGCAGTAAATGTTCTTTGTTACGTTGTTAGTTAGTATTTGTTACTGCATGTATTTTTTATGTCCTTTTCTTCCCTACAAGCGCTTTATATGTGACTTCCCAATATCAATTCTAATGTGTTTGCAGGAATTCTATCACCGTCAGTTAGCTTCAAATCATTCTCAGCTTCCTAGAATATTCGGGATGACTGCTTCCCCCATAAAAGCAAAAGGTATGCAAGCTTGCTTATGTATTTTTGATAAGTTCACTACTAACCATTCTTAAATTTGTTGAGTTTGCCATGAAGTAGGTGAATTTGCTAATCAGTTTCTTGTGAAATAGGTTCAAGCTCAGGATCGAACTACTGGAAACAGATTAGTGAACTTGAGAATCTTATGAATTCTAAGGTTGTTTACTTAATGTTCTCTGCATTTGTGTGATTGCAACCCTAACATCATTCAAAGTGTTTATTGTGCTTTTCTATTTTTCATTCTGTAGGATTGAACTATAAAAGGAAAATGTGATGTATTTTTGTTTTGTTTTTTCTTGTGTTTTTAATCATGTGGATATTAGACTCAACTTGCATAATACTTTATTTTGTTCGTACATAAATCTTGTCCTTAAATGAGATGATAATCTAACCCACACGTGCTGGTTTGGTGGTCGAATAATGGGTAAAGTGTACACCCATATATCTTATGTTCGAGTTCCACCACCAACTGCATAAAATCGGCGTTTAACTTATGCAAAGTGGTTGTGTCCATTCGAGTTTTTTGTTGCAGCCCTTAGTCTAAAGTCTGTGTGTGGCTGGGACTGGATGATTCTCCGTTACATAGAGAAGATGACTTTTGAGCTTTTCGGTGTTTTCGTATTTACTGAATGTTGGAAGGTGCTCTATGTCTTCGTTATAAACAACAATTGACTTGAGCCCTTTACCCTTTTGGCAATAAATAATTTCTGAAAAATGATTTATTTATTTGTTATATAGCCATGGACAGGTATTTGATTTGCCGGTTTTCAATATTTTTATATGGCAAGTCCCACAATTGTGTAATATCTGGGAAAAGTGGGATGAATTAAAGAATGGAGAAGGCGAAGACTGTGAATGGAAGAGTTCTCGTCATTGTTGAGTAGGGCCAGAGGAAGGACATATAAAAGTTACAATTGAAATTTTCCTTTCGGCTTTTTTGCAGAAGTGAAAACACGAAGGAAGGAAGGAAAAAAAGGGAACCTTTCATTTGCAATACTATTCTTGAATCCATGTCCTTGTATTAACATCTAGTGTCACATTCCTTTTGTGAACTTTTCATTTGCTCAACAATTATGCTGTTTTAGTTAAAATACTATTTTATTTCTAACAGGTAAGGAGGAACACTTTATTTTTGCTAGTGTGTTCAAAATTGAACTGTATGGGACATGGACATGCTCTAAATGGGTGTTTCATTGTGGTATTATAACTTTTTATGGTGCATGTTGGGGATGGGCAATCGACAGATGTGATAAACGTTGGTGACATGTGACCAACATGGATGAGACACCTTTTGTGATTTGTTTTTTCCAAAATTGTAGAAACTTGCCTGGTGATTCTATAAAAAAGGAAGTTTTTTTGCAATTTGAAAGAGATAGGGGCCTAAGTTGTAATATGAGAGGAGTCTAAGCTAGATTTCATTGGTTCTTTTTGNATTTACTGAATGTTGGAAGGTGCTCTATGTCTTCGTTATAAACAACAATTGACTTGAGCCCTTTACCCTTTTGGCAATAAATAATTTCTGAAAAATGATTTATTTATTTGTTATATAGCCATGGACAGGTATTTGATTTGCCGGTTTTCAATATTTTTATATGGCAAGTCCCACAATTGTGTAATATCTGGGAAAAGTGGGATGAATTAAAGAATGGAGAAGGCGAAGACTGTGAATGGAAGAGTTCTCGTCATTGTTGAGTAGGGCCAGAGGAAGGACATATAAAAGTTACAATTGAAATTTTCCTTTCGGCTTTTTTGCAGAAGTGAAAACACGAAGGAAGGAAGGAAAAAAAGGGAACCTTTCATTTGCAATACTATTCTTGAATCCATGTCCTTGTATTAACATCTAGTGTCACATTCCTTTTGTGAACTTTTCATTTGCTCAACAATTATGCTGTTTTAGTTAAAATACTATTTTATTTCTAACAGGTAAGGAGGAACACTTTATTTTTGCTAGTGTGTTCAAAATTGAACTGTATGGGACACGGACATGCTCTAAATGGGTGTTTCATTGTGGTATTATAACTTTTTATGGTGCATGTTGGGGATGGGCAATCGACAGATGTGATAAACGTTGGTGACATGTGACCAACATGGATGAGACACCTTTTGTGATTTGTTTTTTCCAAAATTGTAGAAACTTGCCTGGTGATTCTATAAAAAAGGAAGTTTTTTTGCAATTTGAAAGAGATAGGGGCCTAAGTTGTAATATGAGAGGAGTCTAAGCTAGATTTCATTGGTTCTTTTTGGGTTTGCTTTTCGATTTGTGTGGTAATAATGTCGATCAACAAAAAGAATAAGACTTCTATTGCTTGATTTTAGTGATTCTTCTTGGCAAAAAGATTCGGGCGTTTTTTCTTTGTGCTTCTTTAGTTCATGAGCAAGAACTAATGTTCTATAGAGTTCGAAGAGAAGAGAGATTTGGAGAAAGATTTTCGAGCTCGATTTGAGTCATTCTTTGTGAATAGTCAGTTTGAGTCTTATAAGCTTTGAGTCGAGTTGGAACTCTAGTCGTGTCGTCGGCCAGGTAAGATCGGAGTTATTCTTTGTGAACTGTTGTTCTATGTTTTTTTATCCCTCAATGATGTCTACCTTCATTTATCTGTCTTTTAAATCTTCTATTATGTTTTGGTATTTGATTGATTTAGACACTTTAGACGTAATGATGCTTTCAAATTTGGGGTTTTTAGATTGACCTTGGTTTTACACAACTAGGGATTGGAGCTGGGGCTACAAAGTTGGGCTATGATATCACATAAAATAGCGTACACTATTTGTTGATTAAATAGGGTTAGAAATTGGGACTTTTTGAGATTGAATTAAGTTATTGAGGGGGGGGCCCTTTTTTAAATTTTTTGTGGTTATTGTTAAATGTTGGATCATAGGTGTTCACAATTTATTTAACATTGGTTCATAAAGTATTCCCTTTGTGCTTACTATAGTCGTCACCTGGTTATGAGATTTTATATTTTCATAATCTAGTTCGTCTCTTATTTTTATTTTTTTAGCTTAGTACGTCGTGTACTTGAAAATGAAAATTTAGTTGAAAATGAAAATTTTAGTTACTATTTCGTTGGAATAGTCTAATTATAATTGTGACTGAGATGTTTTTTTTTTGGGTGAAGGTGTACACATGTGTCAATGGCTTGGTGTTGGCCGAGTATATTTCATATTCGACTCCTAAGCTGAAGATTTATAAACACATTGATATTCCTGCTCCGTTATTTGAATGCTGGGAAAATGGATTGGAGAGTTTGAGAAGAAAGGTATGCATATTCAGTCAAACCAATATGTTTATTTGAATTTTGTGGTACTTCTCTCATGCTCTCTATCCTCCCTTATTTGGGTTTGCATGTAATACTTGAGTGTGAAGTTTTGTGGTTGAGATTCAAGATGTTGCTAGGAAAAGGACAAAGGACATGGTTTAAAGTAGCAAGGGAAAAACATGAAGCATGTGCTTTAATGTAATATGTTCATCCGTAACAATGAGGCAAGATATGCGCAGGCAACCCTTTATATATAATGAGGTTGTGCTTGAACACATATATCAAACTTGCCAAGAAAAAGGACAAACATAGAAGGGTAAGAGAGAAAAGAAATTTGCTTCTCTAACGTTCCATCATAACGAAAACTAGGTAAAAGAAATAAAATATATATGAGAAAGAACTCCACTACTCCTAATGATAAATGTAAATATGATTTTAACACACCCTCGAACTCGAAATTTGATGGTAGGAAGCATCGAGAGTTTGTTAAGAAATAAACGAAAACATGGCGTGGTGTGAGATTTTGTAAAGAAGTGAGCCAATTCCATGGTAAACGAAGTAATAGGCTGGGAAATAGTATCAAGCTAAAGACAGTGGCACAACAAATAACAATCAATTGTGATATACTTGGTTCGTCCATGGATAACAGATTTTATGCAATCTAAATGACACTTTTGTTGTCAAAATACATGGAGTTAGGAGTAGAAAAAAAAATAACAGTCAATTTCGATATAATTGGTCCGCTTATGGATAATAGAGTTGTATGCAATCTGAACGACTCTCTTTTTGTCACAATACATGGAGGTAAGAGTAGAAAAAAAAATACGTTGATCGGCAAGAAACCATCTCAACCAAACTATTTTTAATGTAATAGTAATCATAGCATGATATTTAGCCTCAACGGTAGAGCAAAATTCAACATTCTGTTTCTTGATTTTCCAAACAATAAGAGAATCACCTAGAAAGACACAAAAACAAGTTATTGATTTATTATTATTGGTATCATTTACTCGATCAACATCCGAAAAAGCATGAAACTTCAAGGTAGAAGTGAAAGAAAAACTATAAACTTTGATGTAAGATNTGTTTCTTGATTTTCCAAACAATAAGAGAATCACCTAGAAAGACACAAAAACAAGTGATTGATTTATTATTATTGGTATCATTTACTCGATCAACATCAGAAAAAGCATGAAACTTCAAGGTAGAAGTGAAAGAAAAACTATAAACTTTGATGTAAGGTGCCCTTAAGACAGACTACCCCTAATATTCCATACGTAGAAGAGTCAGAGAGAAAGAAGTCTGCTTCTCTAATATCTCATCATAATGAAAATTAGGTACCAGGGAGTCAGGGACAATATATGTAGAACCCTACAATGAGAAAATACTGGACTACCCCTAATGATAAATAAATATAAACACAAATTCAATCTTAACTATGCTGAGATTGGCTATTGCTTTCTATGGAAATTGATGTCCATACTTTCTTTGTATTTGTGTTGTCGGTGAAAAATTTAAATCTGAGATGTGTCTTGTTTGTGTTTTTTGCATATTTTGTTTCTTTGTCTTGTATTGTTCTTTGAACCAGTACTTACCTGATATGTATTTCCCTTCAGCATGAAACCTATCTCAGAAAATCAAATATTTCAGAGTCTACAGCAGAATTAACAAAGAAAAGATTATTGAGGCTTTCATCAACCTTCATGTTTTGTTTGAGTGAGCTGGGTGTTTGGTTGGCTTTAAAGGTAATTATTTTGGATTGCTCAATATTTTGGTGAAAATGTTATATTAGACTCCACTAAAATTGTGGTTTGAACTAGGCTGCAGAGTCCTTGTTGTGTGAAGAAATTGACATCTTTCAATGGGGGAAATTGGATGTATGTGGTGAGAAGATTGTAAGAGATTTCTGTTGTGATGTGCTTGGTGCTTTCTCCACTTACATACCATCAGGTTTTTCCCGTCAGAGTGTCACATTTTTTTTTCTCATTCTACTTGTTCATATTTTTTTCTCTATTTCCTTTTTCCTTTTTCCTTTTTTTTATTTTTCTATTTCTCTATACCTGTAGGTCCCCATTGGTCCATTGGTAATGACAGAAATTCTGACTTGGTTGCTGGGTATCTAACTTCAAAAGTCATCTGTCTCGTAGAATCTCTTCTTGGATACAGGTTGGTTTCACATTCAAGTTTTCTTGTGTTTATAGCTGGTGATGAGTATTAAATTTTTTCTTTTTAAGATGGCTGCAAACCTTCATGTCTTGAATTAAATGGAACTGCAACAAAATTTCCTGTAATTAGGCATATACTCCTGCCCAGTAGTATATTATAATCCCAAGATGTTTGTCTGGGTCACACCAGCTGGGAACTAATGCTGGTAGACTACTAAATTTAACCGAGCCGCTGTTTGTTTGATATTGTGCAGATAAAAATCTCAAGTATTGGTCTTTTATTTTTAGATTTACTGTTGCTTTTATTTTTAATTATATTTTCTGGTAACAGCCATGGTGGGATCTTTTCTTGGAATTAACTATTTTTCTATGATAGTGATGTTGAAGTCAGAAAGTACCAAGACCCTATTAGTTGCCTCCTTGGGGAAAGGTTTTTTGTTCTCTTTTCAGTGGTCATCCTTTGTTTTCAGAGTTATAAAAGCAGAAACTAAAGTTGATGATATGTTAATGCTTATTTCACTGTTCTAGGAAGCTGTCTCTAGAAAATTGAGTTTTAAAAGGCCTGTTCTATTTTTCTTTTTTCCATTTTTTGTGTTTGTAAAAAGTTCTAAAGTGACTATAGATCTCACGCTCACAATTCTTAACTTTTATGGAAAACACCTTTATGAAAGCTAAGCACTGAAAGTTGTGCCAAAGGGACCTTAAATTTTGGGTGTTTTTAATAGTTTTACAACAAGGTTTGATGTTTGCCTTCTCGAGTAAATACACTAGAATGTTATGAAGGAAACCCGTGTCCGTTGTGGGAGAAACCATGCGTTCTATTGTCTGATTTGAAAAACAAACAATGAATATCAATTGATTTTCACTTGGGGGAGTTTTTTTCAATATTTGTTTACAAAATTTTTTGTTTCCTTCTTTGTCAATCCATTTTTCGAAGCATCAATAGTAATACAGGTTGATGCAAGAGCATCCAAGTGGCCTGCTAAGGCTGTCTAGCTCAATTAAGCCGATCAACCTCTACTTGTTTGATCATCCTGTCTTTGTTTTGCTCATCTTTAGTCATTTGATGTATGCCAATAGGAAATTATGTAGTATTCATTTCTTCTTTTATTTAAGTGTTGTGTTATACATGGGACTCTTTTGAGTGAAGTCATGTGTGAGTTATGTGAGTCACTTGAGTATTATCACTTAAGTCTTGTGAGACACTTATATGAGTCACTTCTGCTCATTTCAAATAAATTTAGCAACACTATTCATCTACATTTATGGGAAGGTACTGTTCTGTTTGGTGCATAGTAATTCGTAAAGGAAATAGATTGCTACGTCAGTTATTGTTCGCATCCATTAATATTGTTGACAAATTTGTTGTAACCATTTAAAATGGGACTTCTTTGGTTCTAAATAGCTTGCTTGGACTTGCAATTTGGCCTGTTGGAGCACAAGGAAGTGAAAAATAATGTGAATGCGATATTTACAAATACCGATAGGTGCTATAGTTATAGTTTGTGAAAAGAGTTTGTATCACACGTTAAAATATTAGGGTCAAAAAAACTTTGTTTATGTGGTTAAGGGGCTTCTCCACCTATTCTCAACTGGTTTTGGGTTTGATGCAGAGTTATGCCTTGGTTAGTTAGTGGATCAAGTCTCTCACCGATTAAAATTTCTTAGTTTGTTTATTTGTTTAATTCTGTATGATTTGTTAGCCCACGTGAGAGTCGGGGGCCTGCATTGGGAAAGTTGTGAAGAGAGTTTGTATTGCATGTTGAAATACTAAGATCACCTAATGTTGCTTTATAAAGTTAAAAGGTCTTTACTGTTATTGTCAATTGGTTTTTAGTTGGATGTCTCTACTACTGTTTACGGTAATGATAATATTGTTGATTGGACTATATTGTCACCTTTAAAATGGGGCGTATTCGGCCTTGGTAATATTCTCGGACTTGCAGCTAGAAGTGAAAATAAAATGAAATAGTTAGGTTTACTAGAGGTTTTTCAGGGTTTGAAGATCAAATCAAAGGCTCATTGTTGGTCTTTGGAGTATTTTATAATAGTTTGTCGGAGATTCTAGGTGATCAAATTTTCAAATTAGTGTCATTGGAAAAAAAGATTAGATATAATTTTGGTCCTTCAAATATATGACGACTATGAATTTGGTCCCTGAAGTATTACTTTTGTCAATTTCGTCCTTAATGTTCAAATTGATGACAAAATCGTTTCTTATGCCACTTACATGATGATAGGCCTCAGGGAGCAATATTGAAAAAAAGAACTAGCATCTCCATGATCGAACCACCATCATCACTCTCTTTCCTCACCTGTATAACTGAGCCACTTCTATCACTGCACCACTACTTTTCTCTCTCTCTCCTCACTTGATAGCAAAGATAGCACCATCGCCACTCCTAATATTTTCCCTCTCACTCTCCTCACCTCGATAATAGAGCCACAATCGTCACCAAATCTAACCACTTTTCTCTCTCTCTCTCCTTATCTCCATAATAGATTCGATAGCATTGCCATACCCAACCCCCATGGCTTGACTTACATCCCTCAAATCAGTTCTCACTTTATTCTCTTTCGAAATATCTATCAATTGGGTTTAGTCGAAGTATAACTAGTTTTAGACACATGGTTTAAGGTTGCGGTATCGACCATTAACTCGGAGGGCACTGATACACATCGGTTGTATGTCTTAGCACGATACCGGCCGATACATTCAAAATGCTAGATAAAAAGTTCAAAATTGTTTGAAAAAATTATAGAAAAATTTAAACATGCAAACAACATCATCCATGCATTGTATTTACAAAATACATCTCTAAAATTGTTTGAAAAAATTATAGAAAAATTTAAACATGCAAACAACATCATCCATGCATTATATTTACAAAATACATCTCTAAATATAATAAAAATAATTAAAAAAAATATAAGAACGTTATCAAAAATATTCATTATCTTTTGTGTTCAATATAAGTATTTAAGAGCGTACAAAAATAGGTAAGTAATTATAAAATTGGATTAAGTAATTAATTTTTAAATGTTATCAAAAATTATAAAGAATTATATTGATTTATTTATGTCTAATTATATAATGTAATTAATAGATGTCAATTACACATAAAAGTAGAAGTAAAAAAAAAAATACATTAACTTAATATTTTTAAGAGGATAGAAAATTAAACAAAAATTGGAAAAAAAAAACCAATAATTAACACATTTAAGAGGAGTGAGATATATGTAGGCTCTCTGACTTCACTCCTCGGCCTTTTAGCGAGAGAGAACCTGAGATAGAGAAACAAAAGGAGAGTGAGATCAAAAGAGAGGGAGATAAGTTGAGGCTCTGTTGACGATTAAAGATCCAAGGATCGAAGGTGAAAGATGAGGACAGAAGGAATTGTTTGCAGCAATGACTGGTAGACTTGAAGGAAACTAAGAAGACGACGACGAAAAAGAAAAGGGGAGTAGTAGGAGGAAAATAAGGGGCGTTTTTGTATTTAAAGCTACACTATTTTACAGGTTTTGGGTTACAAATTTCTTCAGTACTTTGTTCTTTTTACATAATTGCAAAAAAGAATTGATTTAAAGTTTCGTGTTGAACAATTGCATGTGGGTTTCAAATGTGAGTTAGATTTTTCATCGCTTTTTACCTTTTTCTTCTCTGTTGATTGAGATTTTATTCGTATCAGTTTGAGTCAAATGTGAATCGTTTTTTAATTTGAACCAAGATAGACCGATTTGGACCAAGTCATGACTGACTCCTAAGAGACTTGTGATATTTCCATATTGTTATTGGATCGATAGTGGCTGAATCGGATATGACTCAACCGATACTTCGAACCTTCTCTTCTCAATGTCTCTCTTCTCAACTAACTAGACCCACCTCATTGAGTCAGTTTTCTCTTTTCATTCTCGTCCAAAATATCCACGAATTTGGTTGAACAATTGCTTAAATACTATGAAAATCTTGGGTTCTTTGCTCACACTAGATGAACAATTTAAACAAGTGATGATAGAAGGGTGTGAAGATGTTATGGCTGGTGAGGAAAAGACCACTAGACGTCTTCATAGGTTTACTTACATTGTAGATCTTCTTAAGGAAAAGGTTCGGACAATCATTTTAGGGGGTGGGAGAGGAGTCATAGAGAGATAGGGTGGATTAGGGCAGGCAACTAAATGTAGGTTCGTTTACCAAATTGCCCCATACACCCGTGATGTGATTGGTCCATGGGATGATTTGGTAATCAATTTAGACGGGCTTTAACAATTGGAACAAAACTTTTAAACATTAGGGTCCAAATGGACAAAATTGGTACTTGAAGAACCAAATTGATTACTTGAGGACAGAAATTGTATTTAATCCTTATAGAAAACTTCTAACTACCGTTCTGGTATTCAAAATTGTTGAGCTGTGGATAATTTACTTAATTGACTCAAGTGAAATTGGTAGCAACATGATAGAAGCTTGAACAATAAGGCATTTTCGTTAATTCTGTGATGTCCAACTCCTCCTCTGTCCCTATGTATTTATATTGGCTTCTCTTATTAATCAATTATTTGACCTTGATAGACGAAAATTTTCTCTAGGTATGACTGTGCCTTGATAGTTTGTGTATTTGATATTATTGCATCATAGTGTTTTTACAATCATTTTGACCTTGCTTATAAAGTTTAAGTTTGGGGGGTATGATTTTATTTATTTTTATCATCATTTCATGTAAGGTCTATATGGTTTTGCAAAAGTAAAATTGTTTTCATTCCTGCTGTGCCGGGTCTCAGGTATAACATGGAAGATTTTGGTTTATTCTTTTGCTAGAGATCTATTGTTTTCTATGATGGGTAATGAATATTAACAGCTCCTTGAATTCATTTATTAGGACAATGGCCACATTTTATTAGGCTTCAAAAATAATATCCTTCATGTAAACAGTCTCAAGGTTTGTTATAAAATAATCAAGCTTGATAACTGGTTATTGAAATATTCGTTGGATGTTTGATACCAGATCTCCTCCTCTGTCTCTTCCTTTCACAGCCTCTGTGTTCTCCGAAGTTACTATCTTAGCAGTAGACAGACATGATAGAGTTATACTAATCTCTTATGCATCTCATGCCTTGTTGAGTTCAAGATTAAAATGAACTCTAAGGATTGTCCACAGTCTGTGTTCTCTTAAGTTACTACTATATTAGCACTAGTTGGACATGATAGAGTGATAATAACTTCTTTTGCGCCTCATGCCTTGTCTAAGTTCAAGATGGAAAATTTGAAGTTCAAGGTGAAAAATGGACTCTAAGGATTGTCTCTTTGATATCAATTTTCAATAAAACATTGCTTGTTGGCACCCTTAATTATAGAGATTAATGGCATATTGATTTGGTTGATATCCAAATTTTATTTATTAATATTTCATAGACTAATAGCTATTTTAGGTCAAAATTTTTTATTAGTCATTGGTAATTATGTTGACATATTTATATGTAATATTATGCAGGGATTTCAAAGATTTGAGATGCATAATTTTTGTTGAAAGGGTGATAACAGCGGTCGTTCTTCAAAAATTTTTGAGTGAGTTGCTCCCAAAATTAAGTGGTTGGAAGACAGAATACATGGCAGGGAATCACTCTGGGCTGCAGACACAGAGTAGGAAAGAACAAAACAAAATTGTTGAAGAATTCCGCAAGGGCAGGGTGGGTGTTCTATATACGCTTTTATATAAAAGATCTCAACCAGGGCAGTGTATAGTTAATGAGTGAGATGATTGTATGTTGGTATAACATATGTGCAGGTGAACATCATTGTTGCAACCTCAATTCTCGAGGAGGGTTTAGATGTTCAGAGTTGCATCCTTGTTGTCAGATTTGATCCCTCGGCGACTGTTTGTAGTTTTATTCAGTCTAGAGGTCGTGCTAGAATGCAGAACTCAGATTTTTTATTAATGGTGAAAAGGTATATTCCATTTCAGCATATCATTATATTAGAAAGGCATAATGTGAGTAGCTGAGTATTCTTTTGTTTTTGGCCTCCTTTTGAGTTGCAGGTGCACATGAGTTGTTAGGTGGCTAAGAACAAAATATTAGTGCATAAAATTACTGCTACTTCATTTGCCACATTACAGTGAAAATTGATACAGAATAGGTAGAAGTTTTAAGTTTTAACTGGTTCTTATTTATTTATTTATTTATTTTTTGGGGGTTGGATTTATAGTGGGGACACTTCAACACTTACTCGAGTGAAAAACTATCTGGCTAGTGGAGACATAATGAGGAAGGAGTCTTTACAACATGCTTCCCTTCCTTGTGCACCTCCTGATAGCGAAATGTACAACGAGGCTTTTTATATGGTTGAAACCACAGGAGCGATTGTGACTCTAAGTTCTAGTGTGGCTTTGATTTACTTCTATTGCTCACGGCTACCTTCTGACGGGTTTGTTCTTAAAACTCTATTTTTTCATCGTTCAAAGTGCCGTCTAGTTTCTTTGTTGTTTATCTTTATGTTTGCAAATCATGTTTAGTTTAGTTTAGTTTATGACTTCCAAATGTTTCACTATTGTTATTTGTAGGTATTTTAAACCCTCCCCTATGTGTAAGATTAACAAGGAGTTGGAAATCTGCACCTTACAATTACCTAAAAGCTGTCCAATCACCACTGTTGAAGTTCGTGGCAATGTCAAAACACTGAAGCAACTTGCATGCTTAGAAGCGTGCAAGCAGCTTCATCAGATTGGTGCCTTAACAGACAATCTTGTGCCTGATATTATGGAAGAAGCTGATACACAAGAATTGGGTACTTTTTTCGGAAATTTTTTCCTGTTTCACCGTTCCAAGAAGATCTCAGTTGGTCTTCACTTATTTTATTTTGTGATCCTTCAATTATAGGGAATTTCTTATCCTGCATCTGAATTTGTGACATTTAATGTACAGGTTATGAACCTAATGTCGATGAACAAATGAACTACTTCCCTCCAGAATTGGTTAGCCAATTCGAGGATGATTCTGTGAAGTCGTATCATTCCTACTTAATTGAGCTACGGAGGGACGTCGAGTATAATATTCCACTTCAGGATATTGTCCTTGCTGTGAGGACTAAGCTTAATTTTGAAGATGACAGCTTGGCTTTTGATTTAAAAGTTGATAGGGGCAAGTTAACTGTGAACATAAAATATGTTGGAGTTGTTAGTCTTACTTCTGAACAGGTAATGCATCATTTCTATTTCATCTGTTCTTGGGACATGGAATGATTTAATAACTGAAAAAATGTAGGTTGGCTTTTTGCTAAACATAGTACTTTATGCTGCCAGGTTCTTCTGTGTCAAAAGTTTCAAATCACGCTTTTCAGAGTTATTCTTGATCATAATTTGAACAAGCTGAAGGAGGTCTTAGATGCATGCCATCACAGGAATGATGCTGCTGTGTTTGACTATCTCCTGGTTCCATGTACCAGCTCGCCTCGAACTTCATCTATAATTGATTGGAAATGTGTTAGTTCTGTGATGTTTTCAAGTGATAATCTCTGGGACCATCATAGTTATTGTTCTTCCAAGGGTTATGGTGGTTGGGTGCACACAAAGAATGGTGTGGTATGCCGCTGCATGTTGAAGAATTCTTTAGTGTGCACACCTCATAATGGTCATGTGTATTGCATTGCTGGCACTCTCCCAAATTTGGATGGGAATTCACTACTGCATCTGAGGGATGGAGAAGTTGTTTCTTACAAGAGATACTATGAAAAACGGTTCGTAAAATCTGCTTATTTCACCATCCACATGCTCTTAGTTGACTTTTGAATATTATAATTATTCTGAAGAATTCGTCAGATAGAATTAATCAAAACCATACTGCTAACTACAGGCATGGAATTATATTGCATTTTGAAAGTGAGCTATTTCTTAAGGGGACCCATATTTTCACAGTGCAAAATTATGTTCAAAGATGTAGACAACAGAAGGAGAAAGGTAGGAGTGATTGCTTACTGCCTCTTTGAATTTTATTTTCCTGTTTATTTTTGGATTTTATGGGTATTTTCCCACATATACTATCATATCTGGTCATTTTGAAGTCAGCAAATAAATATGACAACCACCCAATATTGGTCCAACGATTCCCTCTTGCAAAATTGTTGGAACGGTGACTTATGCTCAATGTTACCTGGATCGTGGGTCACTTTGGTATGTGGTATATGTACGGGTACATGGTATGACACTTTCTTAGGTATGCGGTACGATGAGGGTAGTGGTTTAGCTGGTACAGGATTGTGGGTCATAATTCGTTTTAAAACTCTTATATAAATCGTTTTCACTAGTAGACAACATTATATATTATAAAACATTCATAAACACTAAATTAATTCTCATTTACCTTATAATTGTGCTTGATCTTCTATTATCTAAAGTAATTTATAATTATAAATATATATACGTGTAGTTAATTAATATGAATTTTATATTTGTGCTACATGTTTTAAAGCGAATTGATTTAGAGTTAGTATTACAATTTGGGGTCGTCCATTTTGGTGATTTGGATCGCGAACCTACCTCTTTTGAAATCAANGTTCAAAGATGTAGACAACAGAAGGAGAAAGGTAGGAGTGATTGCTTACTGCCTCTTTGAATTTTATTTTCCTGTTTATTTTTGGATTTTATGGGTATTTTCCCACATATACTATCATATCTTGTCATTTTGAAGTCAGCAAATAAATATGACAACCACCTAATATTGGTCCAACGATTCCCTCTTGCAAAATTGTTGGAACGGTGACTTATGCTCAATGTTACCTGGATCGTGGGTCACTTTGGTATGTGGTATATGTACGGGTACATGGTATGACACTTTCTTAGGTATGCGGTACGATGAGGGTAGTGGTTTAGCTGGTACAGTATTGTGGGTCATAATTCGTTTTAAAACTCTTATATAGATCGTTTTCACTAGTAGACAACATTATATATTATAAAACATTCATAAACACTAAATTAATTCTCATTTATCTTATAATTGTGCTTGATCTTCTATTATCTAAAGTAATTTATAATTATAAATATATATACGTGTAGTCAATTAATATGTATTTTATATTTGTGCTACATGTTCTAAAGCGAATTGATTTAGAGTTAGTATTACAATTTGGGGTCGTCCATTTTGGTGATTTAGATCGCGAACCTACCTCTTTTGAAATCAATGTACCCAGATCGTGGGTCGTTAAAAGTTTAGTGAATTGTGGTAACCATGCTTATGCTTTGACATTATTTGTGCAAAGTGGCTGCAGTAAAGCACGTGTTCTTAAGGTTGTATTTGAAGCTTGTATCATTGTACAAGCAATGGTCACCAAAGATAGGCAAAGCCAGCCAAAATGGACCTCCAATATCGAAATTTGTTTGTGCTCGTTTGTAGGCGGAAGTTAAAATATAGTATGTGTAGTTATAAACTATCCTGATGCTTTTTTTTTCCTCTCCCGCTTCAATTGTTGATGGACTAGAAGGATGAGGCAATTAAATTGTCCAATAGCCTCTTTCTTCATCCTGTGAAAAAATTATTAGAGGACCTGCATTTTATTAAGCATGGTCGATTACTCTTGTGGCTCAACACCACCCCCCCCCTCCCAAAAAAAAAAAAAAAAATTTTGATTAGCTTGCCGTGAATAATGTTATTCGTTGGAATCTTTTCATCATAAACATGGTGTCGTTTTCGAGCTGTTGTCATTTCCCATTTCTTTCCATGTCTTTGTGTTGCGTTCTTTTCTTTTTTTTTTCCCCTTGAAAAAAAAGAGCAGTACTCACTTTTTTTAATGAAAATGCATGCATATCACCCAACATGGACTCTTTGTGGATGCAATTAGTATGTAAATTATCACTGATTAAGCTTGTGGAGAACATGTATGCGTTGCTTGATAGGTGATTTTATTGGAGGTAATGTGGAAAAATTATTAATATTTCAGGCGATTTTTTAGCAAAACCAGAAAGAATTGTAAAGACATCTAATTTTGTTAATTGTGAAGCAAGATTCTACATTCTTTTTTAGTAGTGACTTTTGTCATGATATTACTCATATTAATATTAAGAGACGTCATGTGCTTGCCCATATGCTTCATGATTTAATCCGATGGACTTCTTTATTTTTGTACTTCTAGATTATCGGTGTGTGACTTGTTATGACTGACCCTATTGATATTCTTGTTTTTTTTTTTTTTTGCAGAGCGAAGTAATGCATCAGTCGAATTGCCTCCAGAACTTTGTTTCATAATCATGTCTCCCATATCCATCTCTACGTCTTATTCATTCTCATTTGTTCCATCTATCATGCATCGGATCGAGTCTTTACTTATTGCGGTCAACTTGAAAAAGATGCACGCGAATCACTGCACGCAAAATGTTGTTATTCCAACTGTCAAGGTACCTTTGCCTTCTTATCTCATTACACAATACTTGGTTTTCTTTTAATTGTGAATGGCGTAATGCATTTTTTAAAATGCTTGTATAGAAACTAGCGTTTTGAAGTGCTTTCTTGTTGAAACTAAAGGTTATCCTTCATTGAATAACATTTTATTTAGATGGTTGTTCGTACTTCTCTATATGCAGGATTATTATTTTATCAGTCGTAGGAATCATAGGGTGTTTTGTTACACATTAATATGAATCCAATAATTAGAGGATTCACTGCAAAATAAATCATGTATGTGTGATACAGTTCCCTCTGTTATTGTGGTTTGACGATGATTTTTCCATAAGCTAATCTCATTCTTGTAGCCTACATTTTTTGTGGGAAAGTGGATTGATGCTCTTTATTTGGTGCTCATAGGCAGTGCAATGTAAATAATGGGTTTGTGGTGTTACATGGTGTATGCACTGTGCAGTGCTAATATTTTGAGGGACACATCTGGTGTTTTTCTTGAGCTTTTTGAACGGTGCCATTGGGCAAGCATGGATTTATAATTGGTATAATCAGATTGTGCTGCACGATAGCTTTAATGTTTCATTTCCAAAGCNTTTTGAACGGTGCCATTGGGCAAGCATGGATTTATAATTGGTATAATCAGATTGTGTTGCACGATAGCTTTATTGTTTCATTTCCAAAGCAGCCAGCTTTAATCATACTTTTGTTATCTACGCTTGGTTATTTACTACCTGTAAATTGTTTAATTAAGTTGATGTTCTTATTGTTTGAAAAAAGTGTTTTGGGACAAATGTTTTGACCTTGTGCTAATGAAACATCTTTGTTAGGTTTTGGAAGCAATTACCACCAAGAAATGCCAAGAACAATTTCATTTGGAGTCGCTGGAGACCCTTGGGGACTCCTTTCTAAAATATGCCGCTAGTCAACAGCTATTCAAGACCTACCAAAATCATCATGAGGGCCTTCTTAGTGCCAAAAAAGAAAGAATTATTTCCAATGCTGCGCTATGTAAGCTAGGATGTGATCGTAAACTTCCGGTAAAATTTACTTGTTCATTATCTTTTTATACGTCTTTTTTGAATCCTTGTGGATTGGGCAGAGTAGGGGATAGTAGCTTGTATGAAAGAATTTTTGAAGTGCAAGATCTGTTTCCTTTATTTGCATGGTTAGAGCATAGCCTTTAGAATGTTGACTTGCATTTAAGTGGTTTCTCCTATTGGTAGCATATTCATTGGCCCTATGGTTATTTACCTTTTTGTTTTTGTTAAAAATTAGTGTATTAACCCATCTGGAAGGATAAAGAAGTTTCTAGATGATTGGCAAGTAGGGATAGGGTGGCATGATTTTTATGCTGGATATGATTCCCTACTTTTGTTCAATTATACACACAATTTGACTGATCATATCTTAATGGTGGTTGAGTGTATTGTTAGCGAATTACGATGATGACAATATAATCTATTTTTATCATTGTTTGTTGTGTGTTTCCAAAGTTCATTCATNTTATACACACAATTTGACTGATCATATCTTAATGGTGGTTGAGTGTATTGTTAGCGTATTACGATGATGACAATATAATCTATTTTTATCATTGTTTGTTGTGTGTTTCCAAAGTTCATTCATTTGTTGACTAAACCAGTTCAATTTGAATATCACTCATTATTGTAAATTATATTCTTGAATTGGTGGGCTTCGTAGTGTAAAAAATAATGACATGTGACATTAGTTCTGCATTTGCAGCGGTGCAATTTAAATTTTGAAAGCATAACGAACTACCAATGAGCCCTTGTCAAGTTAGACAGTTTTTATTTTGAGTCAGTCAAGTTAGACAAAGTTTTTATTTTGAGTCAGTCAGATGAAATTTGTCTTTGTGCTAAAGAGAGTTGTTAATGTTAGAGCATTCAACCGAAAACCAATTGAAAATGAGTGTAGTGATTTCGTAAGTACATAAACCAACTTTGGGTGGTTATAATCATTTGATATGGGATGCAAAATTTCTTTACATCCTCCCTCACGCGGGATCGGGTTTGCACATGGGGGTAACAAACAAACAACCATGCACATCTGAAAAATAAAATTCGTAGGAGACTTGGCCTATTGACCACCCAAGGCCCATGTATAATACTATGGTGGAGTATCCCACCCAAAATCAATGGTAATAAGCTGAGCAACTCCTTAAGTATATAAACCAACTTTAGGTGGCCCCAATCAGTTGATGTGGGATACAAGATATCTTTAGTTAACAAAGCATGATTGATCTCTGCAAACATTGTCTTTTTTCTTTCTAAAATATGTATTTAAGAGGGGCATCATAACTATCAAGCTTCTGCAATTTTTCCTCATGGTTCTTTGGTTGTTCTTTTCAAAACATTTGTTATGTCAGTATTTCTGTTATATTATTTGTATAATTTATGCTAATCTGACTTTCTCTATTCCTTTTTTTGGCTATTTTATAGGGCTTTATTCGCAATGAACCTTTTGATCCTAAAACATGGATCATTCCTGGTGATAATTCAGGGGATTATGCATTGGATGAAGAGCTGCTTTCTAGTGCTACAAAACTCTATAAAAGAGGGAAAAGAAAGATGAAAAGTAAGACAATAGCTGATGTTGTTGAGGCACTAATTGGTGCATTCCTAAGCGCTGGAGGTGAAATAGGAGCTCTATCATTCATGGATTGGCTTGGTATAAAGGTTGATTTTGTCAACATACCAAANAAAAGTAAGACAATAGCTGATGTTGTTGAGGCACTAATTGGTGCATTCCTAAGCGCCGGAGGTGAAATAGGAGCTCTATCATTCATGGATTGGCTTGGTATAAAGGTTGATTTTGTCAACATACCATATGACAGGCACTTCCCAGTGAAACCAGAGATGCTTGTTAACATCAGATATTTGGAATCCTTATTGAAGTACTCCTTCCGTGATGCTTCTTTGCTAGTGGAAGCTCTAACTCATGGTTCTTACATGTTGCCTGAGATTCCAAGATGTTATCAGGTAACATTGACAATGTTTTCAAAATTAATCTTATCTGTGCCGGCAAAGATATACCACACAGTATCTTCAAGAATTTAGTGTTTTGTGCTGGCACTAATTGTGCACCATCTTTCTAATCCTTCTTTGGGTAATAACTCTTCAATATCAGATTTATGTTGCACTCCTGATCTCGCATTTGTGAAATAGAAGCACTATGGAAGGCATCAACTAAACAAGTTTCTTGCTTTGTCATATGGCTTGCTACCTGCAATAACATTTTTTTTTCTATAAAAATGGATGGAATTGATAGTTACTAGAACTTGTAAGACATGAATCATGTGTTCTCCAGGTAAGTGTGCACATAGACATGCATTTTAAAGCCAACTTTGAATTTTGTTTCTTTATTTTTTTTAGCAGTAACAGAAATTTATGATTCTTATTTTGTTTGGTTTTGGTGATTGTGTTGAATTGCTGATGAGCCATTTGTATTTCTGAATGTAACACCGCTCTATATTTTCTTTCTGAAAATATTTCATGTTGTGCAGCGTCTAGAATTTCTTGGGGACTCCGTGCTCGATTTTCTCATAACAATGCACCTCTACTGTAAATATCCTGGAATGTCACCTGGACTATTAACTGATCTAAGATCAGCTTCTGTTAACAATGATTGTTATGCCCAATCTGCTGTTAAGGCTGGGCTGCACAAACACATTCTCCATGCTTCACAAGAGCTTCACAGGCACATAGTCACCACAGTTGACAATTTTGAGCAACTATCCTTGGTGTCAACTTTTGGATGGGAATCTGAGACATCGTTCCCTAAGGTTAGTCTTCACTATATGTCACGCTTTATATCGGGGTTTTTTCCTGATTCTCTGTGATTTATTTTTTACTTCACAAAACATAATCTTTTAACAAAATTAAATATTATTGCTGTCAGCTTTGGAATGAGGTGAAAAGAATTGGTTTGAAGAAAAAAAATTACCAAATTCGTTTGCATTCTCATGAGGAGATTAATAAAGGATTAAAATCAATTGCATTACCATTCTTATCCGACAGTGTTTTCTCTGTGGTTTTTTTGGTGATCTGGAGATTTTATAGACATTAGATATGGATGAGGCAAATCCTAAACTGTTCTTTTGAAGCTGTTAAATATTTTGCCAATTTTTAGCAATCTTAAAACATGTTGAACAGTTTAATAAGTGATTTCTGAAAAACAATTTGAAACGGAATCTCCAATATTTTGGATGTTTTGTGGGTGTCTGCAGTTTGCATTGTCAAATGATAGTTAAACTTTGAAGATGGCTGATGGTAGTTTGAGTTGGAAATTTGATTTTGGAGCTGGGGTATTCAAATGTACTGCAATTCCTATTTTGTGTCCTACTTCCTCATCAGTTCTCGGGACACAACTCCTTTATTCATGATGCAGGTCCTTGGAGATATTATAGAATCTCTAGCAGGGGCAATTCTTGTTGATTCTGGATACAACAAAGAGATTGTCTTTCAAAGCATCAAGCCTCTTCTGGAGCCCTTGATTACACCTGAAACAGTAAGACTCCATCCAGTAAGAGAGCTGAATGAATTATGTCAGATAGAACATTATAATATGAGCAAGGCTGTTGTGTCTTGTGATAAAGGTGTGGCATCCATTACTATAGAGGTTGAAGCAAATGGTATCATACACAAGCATTCATGCACCGCTGCAGATAAGAAGACAGCCAAGAAAATAGCTTGCAAAATTGTTTTAAATTCTTTAAAAGAAGCCATGTCTACTTGTACACGGGCATAGCCACATGTAGTGCACCGTTCCCTCCGAATGGAGAGATTTCTACTTTGTCCATGTCAGCACATGGACACATTTTCTTGCGAAGTTTCAGATAAATGTCCGTACATATACGCACCACACAACTTCCCTGTGAAGTTCCCGACATATCTGCATTGATCTCACCGATACCTGTTAAATGGTCATCTAAAGTTATGTGGTGGCTACCGTACCTTAATTTGGATGGATCGAATGGTGGGTAGTAGGGTGGTTAGCTGCAGATTATTGAACAATGTTGCATTGTTTCACTTGAAGGAAGCTTGAAGAATTGAGTTTTTAAAATAACTTTTGGGTGGGCAAATCATTGGAAAATGATATTGTTCATCATTTTGTAGGCGTCTGAAGATGAAACTTTGTAATACTTTATTTGGTTTATGTAATGAAACAGTATTAGGCATAAGTGTATGACAAGTTATGGAGAATTTTCAAGTTCTTTTTTGATTTCTTCTTCTTTTGTTCCCACTTCACCCTCAGATAAGCATGGCTTTCTTAGTTTGGTTCAGCCGAAATGAAGATGATATTCAAAATTCTCTCTTGTAGTTTGTTCTTAATTTTTTTTTTCTCTTTTTGGGATCCTATATATAGAGTTTAGCACGTTAAAGTTAGTTTTGTTCCTTATATGAAACTGACATGTTGATATCAAGATAAAGGGTTGAATGCAGTATTGGATAGTTCTGATCCATCTGGCGAAGCAAAATTTTGTTAAGGAAAGTCACCTTACATTTTCCTATAGTTATTATTACTAATTCTTTTTTGGTCATTCATTATAAGAGAAACTACACGTAAGAAGTCAGTACAGGAAAACTTATCTACCCTCTGCCTTTCCTTCTTTCTTCTTGGATCACATGCATAACTTGCATTGAAGAGTTTGTTTGTTGCTAGTTCGGTATGCAAATATTTGGCTGCATTTGCCTTTCATTATTGGGAAATTCTACCACAGTATCGGTACCGAAAATGATAACTTTTTAAGGTTAAGTTATAATTTTTTTGAAGTGTAAGTTACAAATTTAAAACTATGATTTATCATGGAATGGTAAGATCGATATCTAGTTTTTTATGATCGATTATAGGTATTTGTGATCGATCATAACCTCTCTNTTTAAGGTTAAGTTATAATTTTTTTGAAGTGTAAGTTACAAATTTAAAACTATGATCTATCATAGAATGGTAAGATCGATATCTAGTTTTTCATGATCGATTATAGGTATTTGTGATCGATCATAACCTCTCTTGAATAGTTGTAATTTTTTATTTCAAAATTATATTTTTATCATATAAAGTAGTAATCAACTGTAGTATTACTGAAATTTTTTTTTGGGTTACGTAGAGTTTCCCTTCATTATTATTGTTTGGACGTGTCAAATGGTTAGGTATCCTGATTGACATGATGTCCTCAGACAGGTTGAATTTCAGTTGGTTTGTATCCCATTAAATGGGTCATTTGAAAGTCTGCACACTAAATTAGACATAATTATAAAAAAATGCATAAAAAAAAATATTTTAAAAAAAAGTACACTATTAAGATACAAAGACATAAATGCACATTTTGTAAAATTATCCTTCCTAAAAACTGTGAAAATGCATTTATCTTAACTGNTTTGTATCCCATTAAATGGGTCATTTGAAAGTCTGCACACTAAATTAGACATAATTGTAAAAAAATACATAGAAAAAAATATTTTGAAAAAAAGTACACTATTAAGATACAAAGATATAAATGCACATTTTGTAAAATTATCCTTCCTAAAAACTATGAAAATGCATTTATCTTAACTGCTGAAATGTAGGTACATTTATTTCAAAATCTCTACATCTTCGGATATCGTTATACTCCTTCCCATAAAACCAATTCATTTTTCTCGGAGAAAACTTCACAACTCTTTGTCTTCCATAAAAAACTTCAAGGGTAGGGTGTCGACTGTGATCTGTACATTGATTGACAGAGGATTTGGGGTTTTATCAGCACAAACTCAAAATTGGTGAGAGATTTTTTTGTGATTAGAGTTTTCTTCGCATAGTCTCCATTGATCTTTCTTATTGTGTTCCCGAATNTGTACATTGATTGACAGAGGATTTGGGGTTTTATCAGCACAAACTCAAAATTGGTGTAGAGATTTTTTTGTGATTAGAGTTTTCTTCGCATAGTCTCCATTGATCTTTCTTATTGTGTTCCCGAGTTTGAAAACCAGATCATGATAATCTTTGTCTTCCTCAGGCTTTGATACTGCAAAAGCAAAACTCCATAGATTTCCAAAGGCATGATCAGAAATGGGTGGATTCATTTTGGGCATCATGTTCACTGCATGAACTACAGCAAATAGCTTTTTTTTAAATCTATTTTAGCTTTGGCATTGGCAACCTCCTTGAAATAGCTCCACATAAAAACTGAGACGGCCTCAACTCGGGTCGAATCCTTCACTGTTGATTCAGCAGCAGAGTATGTAGATTTCTTGAGGGACTNGGATTCATTTTGGGCATCATGTTCACTGCATGAACTACAGCAAATAGCTTTTTTTTTAAATCTATTTTAGCTTTGGCATTGGCAACCTCCATGAAATAGCTCCACATAAAAACTGAGACGGCCTCAACTCGGGTCGAATCCTTCACTGTTGATTCAGCAGCAGAGCATGTAGATTTCTTGAGGGATTCTAACTTTAATTTATCGAACACAAATCTTCGGGTCACAATCTTCTCTTTGCTTATGACTGCATTTGAATTGTTGAACTTCGCCATCTCAGGTACATTTTTTTTTTTGTATTGACATCATGGGTTATCCAAAATCAAAATATTATTATATTTATTTTGATTTTGGTGTTTTTTTGGACAGAAAGTTCTTGTTCTCTGAACATCTATAGGATTTTTGCCATATTAATTCATTGTGTGTGAATAAACTGTGAGTATTTCCTAACTGCTGATTGCGTTTCTCTTGCAGTGTAACAAAAATAGTGTAACAATATACTGTAACAAAGACAATATTCAGTAATTTTGTGGATGTTGTAACAAATTCAAAACAGAAATGAACTATTTGAATGAAATTATATGCAAATATATGTTTGACAAAATGTAATAGTATAATATTTTGTGTAAGTGTCTTGTTATACTATTATTGTTACACTGATATGGTGTACGCATATTAAAAAATAGAATAATTACCTTTAAAATAACAAAAGATAATGTTGTAAAACTTAAAATTTAAACTCATTAANTTTGAATGAAATTATATGCAAATATATGTTTGACAAAATGTAATAGTATAATATTTTGTGTAAGTGTCTTGTTATACTATTATTGTTACACTGATATGGTGTACGCATATTAAAAAATAGAATAATTACCTTTAAAATAACAAAAGATACTCTTGTAAAACTTAAAATTTAAACTCACTGATTTATCCTCACAAATAAACGGAAGAATTAAAGAATCAAATCTTCCATTAAATTAGGAAGAATCATAGAATCAAATCTTCTATTAAATTAGAAGATTTTTAATGCATACATTTATCCTAAAAAAAAAAGCAGAAGGATCAAATCTTCCACTAAATTAAGAGATTTTTAATGCATACATATAATCTAAAAAAAAAAATTAGTNCAAATCTTCTATTAAATTAGAAGATTTTTAATGCATACATTTATCCTAAAAAAAAAGCAGAAGGATCAAATCTTCCACTAAATTAAGAGATTTTTAATGCATACATATAATCTGAAAAAAAAAATTATTTTTCAAAAATTAATCGCATGAATTAAGGGAGCACAAATATCAAAGAAAAATTCAAAAATTTTAAATTATGTTCTTGGACATAAATAAGAACTAAAATTAAGGACTTTTTTTCACTACATTTTTTTAGTATATTTTTTTACAATTAATTCACAAAGACAGGGTTTCAAAATTTGAAATTCAAACAAAATGATATATCCCATAAAACTAGGAGATGTTTAATGCATATATATAATTTGAAAAAATTACCACTTTTCAAAAAAAAAAAATATGCNCTTGGACATAAATAAGAACTAAAATTAAGGACTTTTTTTCACTACATTTTTTTAGTGTATTTTTTTACAATTAATTCACAAAGACAGGGTTTCAAAATTTGAAATTCAAACAAAATGATATATCCCATAAAACTAAGAGATGTTTAATGCATATATGTAATTTGAAAAAATTACCACTTTTCAAAAAAAAAAAAATACCCNTAGGAGATGTTTAATGCATATATATAATTTGAAAAAATTACCACTTTTCAAAAAAAAAAAATATGCATGGATCAAGGAAGGACATAAAGGTCACAAGAAAATCTAAAAATTTCAAATAATGTACTTGGACATAAATAAGTGTCAAAATTAAAGATTTCTTTACTTTACATTTTTTTTGTGTACTTTTTTACAATTAATTTTAATTTGGTGTACNTATATGTAATTTGAAAAAATTACCACTTTTCAAAAAAAAAAAAATACCCATGGATCAAGGAAGGACATAAAGGTCACAAGAAAATCTAAAAATTTCAAATAATGTACTTGGACATAAATAAGTGTCAAAATTAAAGATTTCTTTACTTTACATTTTTTTTTTGTGTACTTTTTTACAATTAATTTTAATTTGGTGTACCNAAATTTTTTTTTTTTTTTTTTTTTTTTTAAGTTTGGTTAAAGGTAGTTCGTCTATGCTGGAACTAAGATCGAACTCAGAAAATCTAGATTTATAGTTTGTCCTTATTACAACTTGAGCTATCCTCGGGGTTGGTAGGCCATTGGCCTGAGTACGATGAGTTTTGGTCCAACAAAATTATTTTTCAAAATTTTGTATTAATTNGGATTTTTTTTTTTGACGCATTTTGGGGAATTAACTAGCTTAAAATTGCTTTTTTTTTTTAGTTTGGTTAAAGGTAGTTCATCTATGCTGGAACTAAGATCGAACTCAGAAAATCTAGATTTATAGTTTATCCTTATTACAACTTGAGCTATTCTCGGGGTTGGTAGGCCATTGGCCTGAGTACGATGAGTTTTGGTCCAACAAAATTATTTTTCAAAATTTTGTATTAATTTTTTTTGTTTCACATACCTAAATAAGGTGTTGTTTAATGGAAAAAACTAATTACAAAAAAATGGTTAAATTCTAAGTTTGAAAGATAATAAATATTATATTTATTTATTTATTTTGGTCAGAAACTATTATATTTCTTGTTCATAGCTATTTAGTGTGTTAAAATATAAAATATTGTATTTGATCACTTTGTTTATTCTTATCAAGAAATTAAGATACAAAAAACTTCTTTTTTATTTTTAATTTTTAATTTTTGTAATTGAATTTTTTCCATGAAGCTAGCAAGAATATTTATATTAAAAATACATTTGGTTAAAAATTTTGGTGTTTAGTATCTCACATTGAATAATTACGATCATTAAGGTTAGTTTATATACTTGAGGGATTAGTTTACACATAATCAATTGGTTTTGAGTTGAATGCTCTAATATGCAATCTTTGTATATATGCATATTTACATACTAGTAAGTTGATTTA